TTCGCTCCTTTTCTAGCTAGATAATTTGCTTTTTTATTGCCTTCTATCTCTTGGTGAGCAGGCACCTAGAGTTTATTTTCTTTGCCTAATTTGTTGAGCTTCCCTAGGCATTCTTTCGCCAACTTCAAATAGATGGTTACTGCGTTGATCGCGTTTAGTGCTGCTTGACTATAGGATAGGATGGCAATTGCTATTATATATATATATATATATATATATATATATATATATATATATATATATATATATATATATATATATATATATATATATATATATATATATATATATATATATATATATATATATATATATATATATATATATATATATATATATATATATATATATATATATATATATATATATATATATATATATATATATATTGTTATATTTGCTATTATATATTGCTATTTATATTATATTTATATACATTAATTACCAACTTTCCTCTTACAGTTATGACTAAAAATTTGGTTGGGGCCTCTTTTAACCAGTTAGGAAACGTCACGAAAAACATTAGACTATTAAATGTATTTTTTCAGGGCTCCTTGATTAAAAATTAGCTTTTTTAATGCAGCCGTAACACTCTGGATTGGAATTTTAAATACCGTTTTACTGTAAAAACGTTTATTTGTACATCATAATAATTGTATTTCGCAACGAATTGTTATTCTGCTAGTTACAAGTTACAATTAGGAAAGTTTCAAATAGTATAATTTTAAATCAAGAATTATTATTTTCTATAATAAAATGGAGTTTTCCGGACTTATATTAGTTCTATATCAAACCAATATTATTTAACTCATATTATTCACTCTTTACTGCAGCCAATAATAGATCTAGACGGCACTTGGTAAGATCTTCTTTAATGGAGATATTTGACGATTTAAGGTTGGCATAACGTTTTATGAACTACTGGCGGATATTAATTATTTATCACGTTTATATAATTGAATTACTCTTGTAAACTGTTTATTTGTCAAACGTTGAATGTGGACTTGAATTGAGACACAAATCTACTAAATAATTGGATATCATAGACTTACTAATCTGGATTTATGTTACGAAATAACGTTAGTTGACCACATCCATTGAGACATTGAAATAAATAGTTTACTCGTATTCAATGTACGGAAAGGAAACATGCAATTGAGCCAGAGCCAAATGGGTTTTACACGAATTGGTTTTCAAACAGACGATTTGGATAAGGAAAAGGCGCTTCAGAGATTTAACTGAATAGATTTAAGATTTTAAATGAAAAAATATCATATCTAGGACTGTTTCTATAAAAATACCAAGTATAGTACCCGATATGTGAAAAAGAGTATATTGATAGACTTATTGATTTTATGGACAATTTTTATGGTTGTCATTGGTTAAAAATGGTGAAACAAAAACCACTTAGGTGGCTGAAAATTAACAAAAAACACTTTTTGAACACTTAAAATAAAAAAAGAAATAACTCTTTCAGATAAAGTTTTTCAGAATTTGGCGAAAAATACTATTTTTTTGTTATTTTTTTAAGTGCCAAGTTTCCAAAGGCTCCATGCCAGTGAAGGTATAATTCATAAGTAATTTGTATTTTCTCTCATTTTTAGATGTCGTCTGTCAGAATCTTCCCTGACTCAGTCGCAGGAACGGATCTAGACTACTAGTATTAAGAAAGCTCAAATTCGGAAAACATGATTTTTTGGATCAAAATCACATTACATTATCGACTTTCAAAAACAGCTTGCACTAGAAAATTGAAATTTAGTGTATCGATGGCACTAAAAAAAGCTAAATTATTAAGTTGTCAGATATTGATAGACGCCTACTGTTTTGTCTTGAAATTTAATATTATCTTCTAATGCGATTGCTAATAGAAAATTCTATTTACTAATTTTATACTAACCTTTAAATTATCCGGAGGACAAAACAATATAGTAAATATTGCCAGTAGATATAATTATTTGAATCCTGTACAGGGGGCGCCTCTCTCGCGACGTGGAGGCTTCATGAAGAACGGTAATTTATATCAAAATGAAGTTTGAGTAAGTAGGTTATAAGTAGGTTAACTGAAAGCATCTTTTAAAAATATAGAGAGTCCTCAAAATAAATAACACATCAAAGTTGTGTTTTTTGTAATGGAACACCCTATATATTAACTGATTTTCGGATTCTAGGAGAAAAATAAAGGAGTGTTTCATTACAAAAGTATATGACTAAAATGTAAGGTTTTTGGCATATTTAACATTTTCTAAAAACAAAGACCAAATTTTAAATTTCAATAAAAGCTACCTAACCGGTATAGCCTAATATGTAGTTAAAATTACTTTTGTAGATACTTTAAATTAAATTAAAACTTGACCCAAAAAGTTATACAGGGTGAGACAAAATTAATATTAAACATTGGTCACCTTTAAAAGCAAGTTACTTTTTATTTTAAATGGAACACCCAGTGTATTATTCCGATATTCTATGGAGAATTTATGTCGCTTCAAAATATTATAAAGGTGGCTTACCTCCCAAACAAAGATTTTCCTAGATATTTTTATTTTCATGATTTAGTGTCAGTAGATCTTTATTATTTATTATCAACGCTGCCAAGACCAAACTTATGGTAATAGGACGCCAGCCTACAATCAACACCGCATTGACCGTGGATGGAAATATTATAGAGCGAGTTCCACGATTTAAATATCTGGGTGCCATGATCAATGAACGATGGGACTGCGATGAGGAAGTTAAACTTAGAACGAATTATGCAAAGACAACATTTTTTAAACTTAAAAACTTCCTATTAGCACGCAGTCTCCCGCTAACACTTAGACTACGGGTAGTGAAATGCTACATATAGCCCATCTTACTATACGGCGCAGAAACCTGGTCTCTCAAGACTAGAACCCTGAACCGCATCGAGGCTTTCGAAATGTGGACTCTCCGGAGACTCGTACGTGTGCCATGGACCGCACATGCCACCAACGAAGAAGTTTTAAGAACTGCAGGCTATGAACGAGAAATGTTTAATATAGTTAAAGAAAGGAAAGTCTCGTACCTCGGCCATATCCTTAGAGGAGACAAATATTACATTCCTAAGTAGTGATGGGAATAATCGAATTATTTTCACCATCGAATAATTAGTAATAATTCATATTTCACAATCGAATTAATAATTCGAATTATTTAGTAGTATTATAAATTTAACCTAAAAATAAATTTGTCCCAGCTAGTGCTCGTCTAGGGGCTATTTTAAACAAATCTGAACCATTGCCATACCTATATTCTATCACTGAATAAAAAATTTAAAAAAATATTCTTTATTCAATGTATTCTATTAACTGTGCCGAAGCCGTTTAATAAATTAAACCATAATTTAAAGTTTTAAATTTAAAAGTGCCGAGTTTATGATTGTTTCAATTCCTACTGAAAAGCTCATATCTAAAAGAAAAGCTTCTTCTAAAACGATATAGTATGTCTTTGTTTACGTGCGGTTCGTATTTCTTTTTATTTTATCAGTTGCAATCAATAATTATTTAGATAAAAGAAGAAAATGAATTTTAGTGTTCGGTGAAATTTGGGTGAGATGGAAATGAACCAAATAATAGTAGTATTCTTTCGTTCTGAACGAAATGAAAATTTTCACTTAAACTGATTTATTCCTACGTGGTATAGGAAATAACTATGATTTCTGGATTTTTCTATATGGGATCGTTCCTTTCTTTGTCGATTCCATTTATAAATCAGTTTAACTGAAAATTTTCAGTTCATTCAGCACGAAAGAATACTACTAATAGTACTATACTAATTACTAATATTCGTATTTGTCCATAAGAGGTGATGTTTTATGTTCATTTGTAATTCGGTTACCACAGATATAATATAAAATACTACTAATTTTTATCTCGATATATCGAAAAAGATAATTCGAATTAGTTAGTTTTAATTTACTACCTATCGAATTAGTCGTATTATTTAATTCGAATTTTTCCAACACTATTCCTAAGCTGATTCTACAAGGAAAAATAGAGGGACGGCGAGGTCCAGGAAGAAAACAACATTCCTGGCTAAGAAACATACGGGATTGGTGTAACATCAGCGACGCAGCCACCATATTTCGAAGAGCCGAAAACGGCACTCTACACATTGGATGAAGAGTACAGACAATCGCCAACGTGCGGCTAAGCACAAGGCACAGGAAGAAGAAGATCTTTATTATTTGATAAAGTCAATATCGATCTCTTCGAGTCCGATCTTTTATGGTATTTCGACGACGTTTTGTGCACTATAAAACTCAATCATCAATGGTGAAAATCTCGTTAGATATAAATAAATTTTGGTATGTCGCTAGATTGGACCAAGGCCAACTTGTACGACACGTGTCACTGTGATGTGTTTTAATGTAAGAAAGTCGTCAAAAGTTGATATCGTCCGATAGCTATCAAATTTGGTGGGTAGGTTATGTAAGCGACGGACCCACTCTGCAAAGTTGGATACGACGTATCGTTTACATCTTCATCAGGTGGGACTAAGGATTTGATATTGAAGAAAAATGTGAGTCAATTTTGGCATAATTGGGGACGGGCTACTGGATCACGCCCTCGAAATTTCAAACCGATGCCTCTAACTAAATGGACGAAATCACTAGGATTTTTTCCCGAATTGAGTCCTCAAACGGACAGACGGTCATTTTAATACAAATTTTTGAAAGTGAATCAATTTTTTTATTAATTTTTAATTTTTTTTAACATTTCGAACTAAACTTTTTCAAACATGTCCTTCAAATCCTTCAATTTAATAGCTGTTAGTAATAAATTTCACTTCAAATATGCGCTCATATTGCAGACACAATTTTTTTTATTGTAGATATAAGCGAATATATTTTATTTTGAAAATTAATGATGCAAAATAACCTGATGATAAATATTAAAAACAGCTACGGTGTATTTCTTTACGGAAATTTTCTTCCTTTAATAAAAATGCTGCATTTTACTTACTACCTTCTCTTGTTTCAGTTCTACTCGTACCTCGAACAATGCCGCGTATGCAACAATACGCTGGAATCGGAGGAGATGACAGTTTTTGCTCCCATCAACGCGGCCTTTCAAAAGATCGTGAAAGGGAATCCGGACACAAACTCCATGGTTCTATATCATATAAGTAAGTTTCATAAAACTTTAATAAGAAAAGTTGGAGGGATATCTTTTCCGGCTAAAAACGGTTGCTTTTTTGTTTCTAGCCGGCGACGGAATATACGTATAAAGTTTCGGGTTGTTTCCAACCCAGGAAAAAATAATGATATTTATATTTATAAGGAAACGTAGAAACCTGAGCAGAGGAAAAACATATTTTTTCCACTTGAAGCGAATTAAATTTGCTTCCCCAGAAAAGGTCGCAATACGTGACACAAACTTTACAACAGTTTAACTTTCATAACATTTGTGCACGGATAATTCAACATTAAATATAATTTATTTAATATTAGATATACATCAGTTCGAGTACGTATATTATCTAAATATACAGGGTGTCCTAGACTGAACGTGCATTAGAAGTTTCTAGAGAACAACAATATCTAGATCGGAGATGTTTTTGTGCATCACTTCACAAGATCTATCGATTAAAAATATTTTCAATATAACGGAACTTCCGGATATACAGGAATTTGACAACAACTTCCTTATTTTAGATGGGTACCCCCATTTTTTATTACATACTTAAATTCTCTGTAAAGTTTATGAATTTTGATATCAAACACTCTAGACCTAATATTGACCGTAAATGTAAAATATTTAAAATATTTGGAGAAAAACAAACTGCCTGTCAAAAAAATCTGTATAGTCTAAACGATAAATTTAGTGATTCACAGCCACTGTGACATAAAGAGAAGACATAGGGCTATCTATTTCAAAAATTAAATTGTTCCAATGTCACATAATATTGGCCGTAGCTGTCATGAAATTGAGTGATTAAAAAATTATCATAAATCATTTTTTTTTAATGGAAACCCACTTTTTTATTTCACTAATGAAAAGGTTTCTTAATTCGTTACTTTTTGATTATACATGTTTCTATATCTAAAACAAATCGTTTTTAAGTTATTTAAGAGTTAGTTTTAAAGAGTATATTTTTTTGTTTTTTAACCAGTAACTCATGACTTTAAATGTCACGCGATGTAAAACAATATCTGGCCATGTCACATTGCCATTACCTAGCACTAAATAACGAGATATATTTTTATAAATACACTTTATAAAAGTTTTACCAGGCAGTAATATTATATTATTTATAATATACGAAATATATAGTTTTATACAAATAAATAGTTTTTTGACAGAAGGAATTAAATTTTCTGATTTGACACTTAATGTCAACGGAAACTAGATAAAATCAAAATTACACTTCAGAACTAAATCTTAAATAACTTAAAAACGATTTATTTTAGGTATATGAATATACAGGGTGCTACAAATTCGAGGTACGAGCATTGGTAACTCGGTAACCATAATAGACACGAACGTGGTTAAATTGGGGCAAAGTTGCGCTTTGGGATGTTCACCAAGATGCCATTAAAAAAGTTTTAAAAATTTCAAAGATTGCTGAGTTTTTTGGAAAAAACGAATATTTTTGAAAATAAATTTTAAATTTTCCTGTCGACACTTTTTAGAAAATCAAAAAACTAATTACACATTCTCATAGCCACTTTATTAGGGCTATCTGACAGTATTTTTAGATTTTCAAATCCGCTGATAATTTGTGAGTCTCAGAGGCCAACTTAATTTTTTTAAATACGGGCCTTCATTTTTTATTTCAGATTTTGAAAGAACTCGCTCTCCCGAGTACAATGATATGCCATACTTATTTTTTTTTGTTTTGGAAATTAGGACACAATTTATTTAAACTAATTTCAAGTCCAGCTCTGTTTTTTTTAATATATTCATCGTTACAATATTGATAAGCTTTCAAACTTAACAGTGACGTAGGTTGGATACGGAAAATCAAATGCAATAAAATTATAAATAAAATGTAATATAAATAAAATGTAATATAAACAATGAACTCATTTCCCCGGAAGATAGATTTGAAATGTTAGAGCAGTATAATGGCCAGCGAGGTACCTGGACCGTCTGATGACGTCAAGTAATTCGACAGCTCCAAATTTTAACAAAAAAGTAAAATCAACACATCTCGGCAGTTACAATAAAGAGTACAAAATGCATTTGAAAGTATAAGAAGATCTATTCAAAAGCAATACGGAGGCTGGTATCCCTTTCGGACATGTAGACTATGTAAAGCATTAGAAACTAGTTTGTAGAAGTTAATTTATTCATAATAACTACGATTAATATTATGCAAATTATTAGATCGTACACTGAGAATTTCAAATTCACAATAAGAAAAGTTAAAAATAATATCTTTAAATTGCTGATCTGGATATTATTTATTTGAATCTTTCAATTGGCTTAATTTTCCTTATTCAAAGTTAATTAGCACTGATCAATATTGTTGCGATGAATATAATCAGATTAAATAATTTAAAAAACAGAGTCGGACTTGATTTTTTTTTAAATTATAATAAAATAGTTTTGTTGGTGTTAAGGTACCCAAAACAAAAAAAAAGTATAAAGTGTGGCATATCATTGTACTGAGGAGACCGAGTACTTTCAAAATCTGAAATAAAAAATGCGGGTCCGTATTTAAAAAAATTAACTTGGCCTCTGTATCTCACAAATTATCAGCTGATATGAAAATCTAAAAATACTATCAGATAGCCCTAATAAAGTGGCTATGAGAATGTGTAATTAGTTTTTTGATTTTCTAAAAAATAACGATAGGAAAAAATAAAATTAGTTTTCAAAAAAATCCGTTTTTTCCAAGAAACTCAGCAATCCTTGAAATTTTTAAAACTTTTTTGATGGCATCTTGGTGAACAGCCCAAGGTGCAACTTTGCCCCGATTTAACCATCTTCGTATCTATTACGGTTTCCGAGATATCAATGCTCGTACCTCGAATTTGTAGCACCCTATATAATCAAAAAGTACTAAACGGAAAAACCTTTTCAATAGTGAAATAAAAAAGTAGGTTTCCATTTGAAAAAAATGGTTTATGATAGTCTTTTAATCACTCAATTCCATGACAGCTACGGCCAATATAGTATATAATATAATATCTCCGATCTAGATGTTGTACTTCTCTAGAAACTTCTAATGCACGCTCAGTCTGGAATGCCCTGTATATAATATATTTATCTCGTTAGTTTACTTGTGGATTGGGCCAAATAAACGTAATTAAATTGTATAATAATAATAAGAAAACTTCTTTATTCGTTAATTTCAAAAATTGAAACAAATGATATAGGGCGAAGTTTAGCTAGGGAGCTATTCTACCACTTAATCTCTTAAAACTAACCAAAAACAAACTTTTGTAAACTCTTGTAAAGACAATCCGGGAACATACTGTATATAGAAACCGTTTTTTATACCAATCGATGTTATTACTAAAAAACGGTATTTCGTTTTTTTGAAATACCGAGTCAGTTTAAATAATTACAAAATGACGACTGGTGAAACCGAATAAGATACCGTATGATCGAAAGAAAACAGCGTCCAGTTGGCTTGGAAATAACGATCGATGATATTTCCCATATAATTTTACATATAAAATGACAGCGATTTTCATTTCACAGCTATCGTTGGCGCCGATTTTATTCGATCATACGGTATTACAAACATAAATGGCCTAAAAATGAAATCTTGGTATTTAAGTTTTTTAATCACATTTATGAAATATTTTTCTTAATAATTAACTAATTTTAGTGGCACTGGATAAGGAGTGCTCATCTCAAATAAAAAAAAGAAATACGGAGGTTATCAGATCTTTCAATTCGGTTCTTCTAAACTGTGACAAAAACATCCAAAAACTTTTTAATACAATTATGAGCGGTCAACAATATAACGCCTTTGCTTTCGGACCATGTCTGTCCATTAGTCTAATTGAAGGAAATGGTTTGACACAATGTAATACTCCCTTATTCTCGATTATACGTTTAGAGAGTATTTCTAACTTGCCAGCTGCCGGCTTTAAAACAAGTTAATCTCAGATACGAAGCCAGCGAGAGGATGAGGCTACCGACCTATAAATATATGTTGTTAGTAGATAACGTTTATAATGAATGAATAATTATTAGAAAATAATAGAAAAGGTGAATTTAAAATTTTTACTTTAAGTTATTAAAAATGTATGTAAATATAAACAATGTAGTAAAATATAGTAAATGTAGTAAATATAAACATGTTGCAACGTGGGGAAGAGTGTACATATGAGATTTAGGACAGATGAATTGCCCATCACACGTGTGATAGCGTGGGATGGCGTGGGGTGGCAAGTTGCCTAGTGTATACGCAATACATGTAATTAACTGGAAAAGCATACGCACAGATCTTCATGACGTGAAGTGGCATGGTGTGGCGTGTGGCGTAATGGGGCCCCGGCTTAAAGTTAACAAATCATTATTGTAAAACTAATAAAAGCAATAAAATCATTTTGCAAAATCAGGTAAAATACCGGGTGCCTCTCAAAATTGGCTCACCCCTATAACTTTTTTATTTTTTCAGTTAAAAAAACGAGATTTGGTATGTTAGTATATGACATAAATTAGGATTGATTGAGTATTCAATTGTTTTCGGTCACTTTCTGTTTCACCGGAAATAACTGCAACTTTTGATTTTATGGCACCTTATAAATGGCACCCTGGGAATATTTTTATTTTTTTTTGATAGAAAATAACATATATCATATGTCAACTTGACATTTTCGCATATGGTTTATTTGAAATTATAACTTCCGGTTCGTAACGAAAATTTGACTCGAAATACCGTCTAATCTAATTTGACTCGAGCCACCCTCGTTCCATTTGAAAAAATTGAGATATTAAAAATACGATTTGAGCATTTTCGAACTGACCTGAATAAGACATTAAAAACATTATATGCAATCAAATATATTTTTCCAAGGCTCCTTGAGTAAGAATTAGTGTTTTTAACATAGCCATGGCACTCTAGATTGAATTTTAAAATACGATTTTTTATTAAGCGAGAATGTCAAAAGTTGACATATGATATGTCATTCTATTCAGAATGCAATTTTCTATCGAATAAAG